AAGCTGTAGAAGGCAGATCAGAAAACATTTCTGATTACTGGTTTGCAACAAGAAAATTCAAAGATAACATAGCTGGTCATTGGAGTCTTTTCTCTTCTCCAAAAGGGCTGCAGATGAGGACTGCAGTTTGAATTTGATTGACATGAGGTGATGTTTATGTTTTGACAGTTATGAAAATGTGCAGCTGTTCATAAAGAAATAGAAATTGAAATTTGTGGTCTTATAAAATTCTACCTGATCTTGCTCTTTATTCCATCTGTTCCCATGCTTTCAGTGTATCCATTTTCCTTTCAGCAGACCATTTTTTACTTTTTAGTTTTGCTTTTTGTATGATGATAATACATATATATACATACGAATGATATTAATTCATGTGAAAGTGACAATCAAACGTCACATTCTTTTAAAAAAATCTCCAGTGTATTTAAAAGTGATTGCTAAGAAAATTGTCTTAAACCATTTTCCACTATAATTTTTTTATATATTATTATGAAACCCCTAAAGAGGAGCAACAGAGGTCAACTGTAAAACATCAAGCTAGAACAAGACCTGTTTAACTTAAAGATAAAATTTCAATATATAGCAGCAATTGTAAGGTATTGCCTTCTATGGAAATTATCTAAGCTTAGCTGGCATTGTTTTACTGTGTAAGAGGACATTACTGTAGAAATCAGAAGTATGAAGTAGAGAGCAAAATCCATTCTCCTGTGCTCTTAACATTTTTATTACAGGGTATGCTATTTGTTTTAAATACTTCCTTGACATGTTGCCCTGTTAAATTCAGTACTAAGTGAAATATAACAGAGTACACTGGTTTAATTCAGAGTAGTTTGTTCAGTTTCAGACTGCAGAAGGCAGTCTCTGATAAATTCAGTGTTTATATAAAATTTTCTTGTCCCTCGTGGGATACCACAGGAATAGATATGTATGCCTGCTTATAAAAGAAACCTGTTACAAAGAAATATGTCTTTCCCTGCATGTTTTAAGTGGCCTAAAAGCGAGTAGGTGAAACTTTTCAGAAAAGATCATGTAATCCTTAGTCTAACAAGCACATGTATTATTTCTGTTACAGCTGAGTGTTTATGCAGTCAGTCGTACCTTCTTGGTTTTGTGCGCTTTTTTTTCCCCTCAATATAAGTATGTTAATTGAGGGAAATACAGGATTTTTTTCCCCCGCTAATCTTTTTTTTTCATTAAATTTTCTACTCCAAATTCTACAATCTGCCTTTCAGACCTTCTTAATACTATTATTATTGATATATTTGAGTCATCATTAAATGTCATTTACTTCTTCCCAATTGTTTTCTTGTTAAACTAGGCAATGTAAAATGAAAATCACAGTGTTTTCTGAAAATCTTTTGCCTTTTTTAAGTCCACCTCTTGTCAGTTCTAACACAGTTGTTAATCAGTTACAGAATTACATTGGTGAACAGGTCTCTTCACGTGCATTTTCTATAACTGCCATGTATTTCTTTTTGAGAAGTGTATGTAAATTGTATTAGCAACTTACATAAGTAGCACTCATTGAAAACTTTACCAAATCTAAGTAAATTCATGGCCTTTATTTTAACCACAAAATCAGTCTATTACTGTAGGAACTGAATTAGATACATTACCCATACCTCATATAATTTAGCTAAAAAGAAGTTTACTTGTAGACAGGAACATATCTGGGAAATGCACTTAACCAAAAATCTCAAAGAGTTTCTAATTTATAAGCAGTGTATTTAAGGTCTATATTTGGACTGAGTGGCTTGAATAAGTGCTGCAGGTTTTTTATGAGCCATTTGCTCATCTGATTTGACCTGAAATTACACAATGCTGTTCACATGGACTGGTAAGAAAGCCTTACCAGTGGTAAAAGGGCATTTCTTTTCTCTTCTCCTTTCCCCAGTTGTCATATTTGTATGAGAGCATGTGTAGTTTTGTGTGTTCTCAAAAAAACCCACCTCCTGCTATTCAGAAGGATTACAAGGAAACTAATGAAGAACGCAGAAAGAGCTAGTGTTTCTGGTATTTTAAATAAAGTTAGTAGCTTGCTTAATAAGCAATAAGTAACAGACATTGATTGGATAGATTTGCTGGATGTTTACAGTAAAATTTCTTCTGTTTATATCATGAGTTTCAAAAAGAAAGAGAAGAAACAGATGCTAGAGTTTTAGATCCTCCTGTAAGGAATTGTGATACAATTTCTGGTTTGAAAATTCTTTACAGTAACTAACCTTACACCCTGAGGCAGCTTTCTTCTGGTTTTGTTTGAGACATCTGTCACCACACTTGATGAGCTACTGAGGATCTCACTGGGATGTTTTTTGGTCACAAGCTGTGAAGGAAATATTAAGCGGTTGAGAAATAATACATCCATAACAGTACATTTTGAAGTAATACAATTCTGAATGCCTGTTACAACTGAGGATTTAGTTGTAATAGAAAATAAATCAGATTCTTACAGAGTCTAAGTTGACCTGGAGTCGCATTCATCATTCTGACATCCTCCAACGCCACTTCTGATGATGTAGATTGGTAGTGGGTTATTCTTTCCTCTCACAGGGGTTGTAGTAAGAGTGGTTTCATTCAGCAATACATAAGATCAATACTTTACAAAATACAGAATTCCAAAAAACTGTATCACAAACCATTATGTAAATTTTATAAAAAATTGATAATGTGAGATGTTTCATCTGTGCTTCATTAAATACCTGTCTATTTGTATGTTGAGTTCTGGTATTCAAGTTTTCTGTATCAGTGTTTATTGAATTTACCTTTCGTTGCATTTTACAAGAGGATGTAAACATACAAACTTGTTCAGAATTGACAATGCTGCAACATAGTCATTAACCAAAATGTTGGTAAACCTTTAGCTTCTTTCAGGTTTTTACAAAATTTTTCCCCCCTTTGTTTACCTTTGCCTCAGAAATTCCATTGAGCGCAGCAGAAGATGCATCATCAGTAAATTAAGACTACCTTATCCAAAAGAGCAGTACCAAACTGTTTCTAGGCACTGCTTTTTTTTGCCAGGATTACTGTTGGATCGTGGAGGTATTAGAACTTGGGCATTGGAGAGGTGGTAGAGACAGAACCAGCCTTAGTTCAGATTTGCTTATATAAGTTTGCAGTTCTCTGGTATTTTGGCACAGAATTTACTCTTAAATTATTTTCAACTTCCTTTTTCTTGTTGTTCACTGCCTACACTGACTGTGTATCTTCTGTCATGCTAGGCACTATTCAGAACACATACATAAAATATTTTGCATCATTTGTGACTGGTAACTTCTATATGTCTCTTAATAGAACTTCAAAGGCAGTTTTCTTAATGTGTTTTCCACATATGATGATGCATGAAACTCCTGTGTACGTCCATTACAGGCACACAGCAGCCAGGGAAGCCATTGGGAATAGTTAGCATCAGCAAAAGAGAATTTATGTAGATGAAAGTGGCTTACTGTGAAGGTCATAATTAGTGAGTCTTGTGATTAAAATTTTGTCAACCTTTAAAAAAAAGTCTAGAGGCAGTAACTCATTTTGTATAGCATTTCCCTCTTTACATACAAGCCTGTTAAGAACAGGTGCAAAAATCTATTTAGAAAGCTCCTGAAAAGATGAGGCAAGAGGTAACTTGAGAGAGAAATCCCCTTAGAATATGTGTATAGCAAATGTACATATTAAAATATTATAAATGTGGTGATGGCTTGGAGTAGTTACCTAAAGCAGAGGCTGGACAAAATTAAGAGATGCTATTGAAGGCCTTCAATAGGTACACCTTGGGCAGTCAAAGGCCTCCAAGGGGCTTCACACAAGGTAGACAATGGTCATGAGTTTTTCAGATATACAAGTTTGGTCCATTTACATGTCAGGTGTTAATCCTGCAATTACAGTTTCAGGTAATGAAGTAATTTATTCCAAGTTTCTGTCCCTGTCCACCCCTGTCCCCCCAATTCACTGTTGTTTACTTGACAATAAGGTTTGAGACAATAAGGTGTCCTTGAGTTTCAGGCGTAGAGAGGAATTGTTTTGCCTGAAGAAATTGTGAGAATAGTAGCTGACAGGCTATGGAGTTTTAGTTATGCACTAAATCAGTACAGGATCTGAAAAATACGAAAGCTAAATCCTAAGGCATCAATGGCATGGTATTTTCAAAGGCCTGTATCCCCATTATGCCAGCTCTGATTTGGTTTCAATAGTGCTGTTTAGTTTATGTTCGGTATTTTGTCTGAGAATCAGGATTATGCAGTTACCTGAAAGCAAGGTGTTGCACACATTAGGGTTCAGGTAAACTCCTGAAACTGCCGGTGAAGTCAGCCAGGATGCCCATAGACGTAGACAATGAGGTCTTTACTACAATTAATTTAATAATAACAACAATAATAGCAATAACAACAACAGTAGTGCTAAACTAGTATGAATTTCTTTTTCTCCTCAAATATTGCTTAAAATTCCCTATTCCTTGATGTTCTGAATAAACCAGAAGTTACACAAAAATATACCAAGAGCTTTTGCATACCCCAGTTATATCTCTTTCACAAGCATACTTTGAAGGCCAGTAATTTCATCTTATTTCTTCATTGGTTGTAAAATACACATAATTATTAAATGCTAGTTGTAATGTAGCTGCAACTTGAGTAAACTTCATTTTTTTAATCCTTCATTTTGATTAGTTTGAAGAAATCTTTCTTGAAAGGTAGTCTTAATTTACTGTATTTGCTGCATGTCCCAGTACAACTTGTTTTTGAAAATTTGAGTTAGGTGCGCCTTCTTCTTGCCTTCTTGATTATGGTTTACTTGTGTTTGCCTATTTAAAATGTTTTAAACATGTCACATGATATAGCTGAGAACAAGTTTCCTATTTTCTCATCTTTCACGTTTTTCATTGGGGAAGAAAAAGATACGAAGGCAAAATGGACTTTGTGATATAAACACTAGTGAGACATACCTTTTTTAACGTAGGCAAATCACAAACTGATCATTATAGCAAGCACACTTAAAATTACTTGTGTTTCTAGGTTCCATGGTTCCTTTCTCCATGCGGATTTTGCATGCTGAACTTCCTCAGTACCTAGGAAATCCTCAGGAATCACTTGACAGACTGCATAGTATGAAGATAATCTGCACCAAGGTAACAGCATCTCTAGGCACTAACATTTCTTAATGTTTAAGAAATGAATTTTATTATCCTTGTAAAGAACATTAATTTTCAATTATGACATTTTTTACTCCATCTTGATGCAAATAAGAAATTTACTATTAAAAGTAATGAAGTGCCTCTTCCATTTTGAGAGAGATCCTTCTCTGTGGTAGGTCTGGCTCAATTGAGCAGAACAGAGGACAACTTTCATGCTTTTGCTAGGCAAGATGTGGAGCACAGTAGAGCAGATGTGTTTAAGGACGAGTAGGAGAGATTTCTTTCCTTCACTGAGCTGCGTCCAGCTTGCTGAAAGCAGCTGTTAATGACCTTGATCCTTCAGAAATGGTCCAAATAACTGGTTTTAGAAACAACAGTCATTTAGGAATATAAATACAACCTGCTGAGTTTGGTTGGGGTTTTTGTTTTGCTTTGTCAAATGCTATAATATAAAATTATGGCCTAAATTCTAACATGGGATTTGTCGGTGCTGAAATTGGAGTCATGGTGTTGTGAGCACTTACTTTATCCAGTAAAACCAGCAACCTTGAACCATAAGCATTCATCCTTAATTTTTTTTTTCACAAAAGTCTTTCCCTAGTAGTCTAATGCACCAGTCACCATGAATTTTACAATGTGATGAACTGTAGAAGAAATGCAACATTATTGCTTTATCTATGACACTTGAAAGTTCAAAACTATACATAAGATAAACACGTGTAATTACTTTTCATTTTCAGTATTCCTTGCAAGTTTCCTATATTTCCTCCTTAAAATAACTGGCATAAGGGAAGTGGAGAGAGAGATGAAAGTGGCATTTTTTATAAAGTTGGAAAGAATTGATTTGGAAACTGTTGAGAGATACATCTAATTTGGCCAAGAAGTGGTACTTCTTAGCACTTGACAGCTGCTGTTGCCTCTAATATATAATACCTCACCTGATATCACTGGCCAGCTATTCTCTCCAGCCCTCTTCATAAACAGTCCTCAATTTCAAGTAATTCTGTTCTTCTAGGGAATGCCATACATCTCTATTGCAGGATTTCATGGAACTTCTACTGGCATTTGCCTGCCTCGGTGTGCAGCAGATCGGCTGTTTCACATCTTGGGTTTATGCAATCTAGTGCTGCACTGTCTGCCCTCAGTCATGAAGGGTCCACTAGGTTCCAAAACTAAACTGGTTTCTAAGTTCCTTAATCTTGTAATGAAGAGAGAAAACTGAGTGTGAAGGAGGGAGTGACTGGTGAGCAGGGCATGCATGAACTGTCTGGCAGACTTGATTGAAATGGCCATGTTACAGTGTGATCAGCCATGATTCTCTGCAGATTAAAGATTGCTGGTCAATAGGGGAATGAAATAAAAGGAAATTAACTCCATCCCCACACACACACTCCTTTACAAAGACCCTTCAAGTCATCTACAGCCTTGAGATGGCTCTAGAGGCCTCTGATGTTTTTTTACAAGTGCATATCCTTAGAGCATATCCAGTGTACCAAGGCAGTTTTTAAAGTATAATACAGGATTTTGTTTGAATATGAACTAGGCTGATTATTTGTTTAAATAAGGGAAACTGAATATGATGGAGAAGAATAAGTAGAAATAAAGGAGAATTACAAATTGATATATACATATTTCCCTGCCCACTAAGTTCTTAAAGAACAGGTCTCTTTACTTGTGTTCTCACAAAGTCCATCAATTGCTAGTAATCTGGGTCACTGGGAATTCTGTGTTCTCCCTTGGAGAAAGCTGTTTTAAGATGCTCTACATCTTCCACGAGCTCTTCTGAGGAGTCTTTTGTTTTCTGCACTTGATGTTGGTTCAGAGATTGTCACCTCTTTGCCTCTGCCTTCCTGTGTCTGAGTTTGCAAGGTTTCCCTTGCAAACGTGTTAGCGTGTTCAGCTGCAGCAAGAAAGACAACAATATCCCTTTGGTTCTGACAGCTTCCTCTAGAACCAGAATATGGTAGCCAGGACAAACTATTGTCTGTGCTGATGGATGCTTCTTTTTAAACTACAACAGACAGATAACTACTAACAAATAAAACATCCTTCTTGGAAATATTTCTCATCAGTTATTCTAGATACCTCATTTCAGATTACTTCCATTTGTTAGCCTTCATTTAAGTAGCTTCGGTTTTGGAGCAATTCAAGGGCAGTTGTAGACAACACACTCTTCCAGCTGTAGAAAGAAGAGTGTGAAAAAAGTGTAAATATAACTGTGTTTTTAAAAGACGGTTGTAAATTGGTGGTAATTTAACCATTTGAAGTCAGGACTGGCTGATAAAAAACATTGTTTTTATGTGTTTTGATTTTTCTTTAGAATGCTGTTTGTCTAACAATCTCGATCTCAACTGGAATGTTCAAGAATATGGTTCTAATACTTAAAAAAATTCATGGCATAACCAAGAAAATAATATAAAGGATGTACACTCATTAGTCTTAATATTTGTATGTGACACTTGGGAACCATTTGGGTTATAACAGAATTAATTGGGGAGCTTTCAACCAAAAGCCTTTAGTGTTTTACCTCTGTATTCTAAAAAATGGAAAAATAATCTTTGGTCATCCGTATTTACAGAAGGGCATACGAATCATCATTATGTAAATGAGATGATCTTGGAGTCATAAAAGCTAGAAGAAAGAAAAGACCTATTAGCTCACCTAGTCTGTCTCTGCAATGCAAGGTTGTTTTGTAGTTTTTAATGAGCCAGCCTATGGTGCTGAGGCCACATCCCCTGGGAGGTTATTCCAGGCTAATGGTAGTGCATTCTGATCATAAGAACTTTGTCTTTCTGTTTCATTTCTTTTCCTTAATGTAATGGCGAGGTTTTTTCCTATCCAATACTTGCTTTTAATCTGCTAAATTCTTTATTGCTTTTTGTTATATATATTCTACAGACACCTGTCAACTTTAGATTAACCACTCCACTTAAAGATGAAACTGTATTTATTTTGGTTACTTGGTCTTTACAGCCTCCATTTACTTACACATCTCCAGTACCTGAAGCAGGATTGGAGGTTGGGTGCAAAAAAGTTATTTTAATGTTTCCATATATGTTTTTTCCTGCAATAATGTTTTTACCTTTTTCAGTAATCCTGCAAGTGTCTAATCAAGATCTGGTTAGGTATTCTGCATCTTTTTCCATATGAACAGCATTTGGGAAAGAAATTATCTGTAGTGCCAAATGAGTGTTAAAGCCTGGGAGAGGAATTCAGTGAAATTGTTGCTGTCTCTGTGTTATTCCTGGTCTTCCCAACATGAACTGCCTCAATGAGTTGTTGCACCTCTAAGTCTTCCTTGAAATAAATGGTCTTTGAACAGCCAGGCAATAAGAGTAACAATAGTAACTTAAATCACAAAAGGATTTGTTCTTTATAAGCGTTCATTTAAAAACATTTAAAAGCATAATCACTTGAGTGCTAATAATGCTGAAGACATGCTAAAAAATGCTTAGCTGGAGACCAGAATATGAAAAGGACAACTGTCAGGCTAAATCTAAACTCCTCATGTCTATGCTTCCCTAGATGTTTGAGGAAGAGGTCTTGGAAATTTACACATTTCATAGTATATTTCACTTTTAAACCCTAATCCCTCAACTGCCAGAGCCATGCTGGGCTCTTCTACCAGGTGGGTGGAGCAGCAGCAAGTGGGTTAAAAGCCCTGCTTCCTAAAAGGCCTCTGCAAGTATTATCTCTGCAAAACTTGTCAAAAATACTTTGTGCCATTTGCCCATCAGCCACAACTTCTGTAGTTCCATCACTCTTCTTCAACTCTTGAAGTTATGTTCCTTCCTGGCCCTTTCATGCACACTCTTTCATATCTGGCCTTCCATGTCTGTTTTACTTCCAAATTGGTGAACTTTTCAGTCTCTTAGGTTTGATTACTATAAGCTTGATTACTATAAGCTTCTAGTTGCTAAGGTGACATAAGTTTTCTGTTTTTCATATGCTACTTCAATCTAGAGGCTGTTTGTCTTTACACTTTGTTTTTTAAGATCATAGAAACTATGATGACCCTGTACCAGTCTGAGTAGCCAAAAAAACACAGTTCCAGAAGCACCAAAAAAGGCTGAATGGTGGTATGCATATATTAGTGATTCTGGCATACAGGCAATAGATAGGGAGTAAAACAGAAGGCTCAGTGAAGTAGTACTAGCCAGTAAAACTAATTAGTGTGCATAACAATAAGTGTTCAAAACAAGAAAAAGCACAGGTCATATGTAAAACTGATGAATTAAATGGTAGAAGTGTTCAGTCATATTTTTCTTCATAGTAACAACATGGGTGGTTAGAGCTGTGTCATGTGACATTGCCAGAATTACCAGTTTACCACCTAAATATTTCATATTGACTAAACGCAGTAACTTACACTGAGAAACTGTCAGAATCATTAATATTACTATTAAACAATTCTTGGGAAATGGAGAAATGCCCAAATACTGGAGAACTGCAGGTGATGTTTTTGTACTTAAGGGCAAAAGAGAGATAAACCTAGGGAATAAAACAATTAGCCTCAAATCATTACTGAGCTCTGTTTTAATGATGTTGAGCTTGAGGTCACAGCTAGATATCCCCAAGTAATGTCACAGAATGGTTAATGCAATACTCTAATTGTATGCTAATATCTAATTCTTCTTTTTTGATTATGTTAGTGAAAATGTTTCCAGAGAAATCCATTGTCTTTTTAAACAAGACAGCATGTCACCTTGATGAAGGCCCCTTGTGTTTATACCATTTCAAGAGATGGAACTTCGGGCCTTACTGAATTTGAGAGGAAATCACTAGGTATTTTATAGGGGAAGAGAAAGATCAGGGCTTTTATACCACAGAAAGTAGATTATAAAGTGGTTTGGATTTGTGGGAGAGAAGAATGTGGGGTTTTTTCTGACAAAGGTGTCTTATTATACACTAGGCATTTAACACTGAAAGGTGGCACTTTGGTTTCTAAGTGATTTCTAGGTGGCTGCACAGCTTTTGAAAGTGGGACTGAGAGTCAGTCTTGCAGGCGTGCCACTGCCAGCTCATAAATTGCCACCTGTCAGCTAAGCTGCAGTATCTACTGGTGTTTGCTCATAGCCTCTCAAAATCTGAGGTAAGATAGCTCAGTCTAGCTCTCTGACCAAAGTCTACAGCAAACCATATGACCTTGTATTTGTTACGGCCTAACAGTTCTTACCAGGAAAATTAGCCTGGCCCAGCTGGCAAGTGGTAAATGTTCTACATTCATTGTATGTCTCTCCATGCTCTTAAGTTCTTTGTAGCTGAATTTATGAACTTGACATCAAAACTTCACTCTAGTCTGTGAAAAGGGCTTAGTATCTCGTAGGGCAATTTCATCCAGTTTAATAATCTTAAATTGGTGGCATAAAATGGCTTCCTGGAGGTACAGATTATCTTGATTGGCTATAGAAAAAAACCAACACACTTTCCAAGGCCAGATTAATTTACCCATATTCTTTTTCAATGTCTTCCTGTGTTGATTTAAAGTGAACTTCATTGGTTTAGGAAAACACAGTTACTTCTTACACTGACAGAAACAAAGTTGTTGGTTTGGAAGTGCGCCCAGCCCCCAGAAGAGGCTGTGCCTTGTATTTCCTTCCTTGGGTAACCACAGTGGCTGATTAAACAGCAGGTGGCCCTAATAGTTTTTTGAAGGAAGTCTTAGGCATCATTCTACAACTAAAGTTATACATCTGTAACAGGGAAAATGGGGTCATCTGTGGGAATTGGAAAATTAATTTGGAAAAGGAAAGTTGACTTGTTTCAAATGGAGCCTTGCATGCATATTTTAAAAGTGCTTCAGACACAATCTTCATTAAGTATATATTTCCATTCTTCTAATAAAACTACAAATGCTTCATTCACTCAACAATTTACATTATTTAAAATTTACGATAAATTTTAAAAAGCAATAAACCCCAAAGTTTGAGAAGGAAATAGCAGTAAGAACTAAGAGGAATACTTCATTAAAGACAAAAACATGAAACTAAAGAAACTAAAGCCCATATTAGGGTGAAGAAGTCAGGAGGCCATGTCCTTCTCTGAAAAAAATCGATTTTGACTTTCATTGTGGTCATTAATGTTCATTCTCTGGTGGAGCATGTTCCCTGTTTTACTTAACAAAATGTGTATGACCCTAGAGTGTGCTGACATTTAATGTTCTGTAAGTATCATAAACTGAACTCTAACATCCTTCTACCGACAGTACAATGACTTTCTTGCTTTGTGCAATTGATCTAGCTATGGTAATAACCAGTAATTTTGAACTATACCTAGGTGAAGCATTTCTGCATGAACTGGTTTACACAGAGACTGTTCATTGTAGATAATTTGCATTAAATATGTAGTGCCGTTTAAACTCATGTTGGTTACTTTAAAAAATTACTACAGATACTAGAAAATTTGGAACAAGGCTTAGCTGAAGATGGAAGTATGACTAACATTACACAGGAGAACAGACAAGGTAGGTATTCTTTAAACATTTTTTTCACAGACATTGTGTTTTTATTACTTGCCTAAATGTGCCAGAAGTTTTCACAAGACTGCCCCAGACTGGTTAAAACTGTAGTTTTGTAATCTTATAGCTTACTCAGCCCCTGAAATGATACACCTCGTACTACTTTTTGCTGGAATTAATTTCACAGTTTTGCCCTTGATCAAACCCATGCAATAAATCAGTTCTTTTTCTTACTTAGGAGAAACAACATGGCTGTTATCCTTTAGTGATGAATATATAAGTGTATTGCTATTGCAGCTAGATGGGTGTTTCATCTTAAGCCTTGGCTGACTCCTCTCAAACCTCATGTCTGCCATCCACTCAGTTGAACTACAACCATGGCTACTCTGGCTTAGGGTGCTGCAGCACAGATGGCTGAGTCTCACTGTAGCTGCATAGTACTTAGACTCCTGAAATATCTAAGGCACTTATTAGAATAATATTTAGATTCTTTTGAGCTACATCAACATTTTTATGATTTTATATCCTGTTTTCTCCTTTTCCTTCTATCTTAGTGATAGAAGTGATATCTTAGTGATAGTATAGGGCAAATTACTGCACAAAAAAAGGGTGATGAGGACAAGCTTTTTTTTTTTTTAACAGAATTTATACTTGTGAGGTCACTTGAGTATACTTGAAAATTAGACAATAGGAGACATTTTAGGCATTGCTATGGGTTGTATGGGCCCCTCATGATGCCTAGCAAGATCAAAACACACACCAAGAAAACAAAAATCTCTAACATTTAGCTAGTCCAAGGAGTGTTACCAAGTTCTTTCTAGGAGACCATTCACACATAGTCCATGGAGAGTAAAAGTCTGGCTCTGAGATAGAAGAGGCTAGAGAAGGATAGAATTAATAGCAGAAAAAAAATTATAACTAATTCCTTAAAACTGTGTCTGTATGGAAAGGTGCAGACCTGTCTGAACTATTTTTCTACCTAGTCTTCAATTTTACTGGATGTAAAAGTTGCTTTAATGTGTCACTGTACCTGACTTGATACAGCTTTTGAATGCGTCCTAAAAACATGAACACATGAGCAGCGTATATGATAAAGGTATTTGCACATATAGTCAAAAGAATGCATTTACTACTCTTCTCAGAAGGTTAAGGAAGAAGGGAAATAATCTTACATTGAAGTTAGACACAGCACTTCATGAGTCTCTGTTCTTTTACCTAATATTGTATCTAATATTCTTTTTGCCTCAGTTCTCCTACTTACTTTTCCTTGTTAGCACTTTCTGCCAGAATTTTCATCCTTATCTCCACATCTTTTGTTTTTTACAACTTTAAAACCAAAGTGTTGATCCTCCTTTAAGGTTCAAGGACTTCTTCCTAGCTGTATCATAATCCTGTGTCCGCCAGTCTGCTTCACTCATGAGTTACTGGCTCTTTGCTTTTCCTCTCTGCTTCTGCTTCAGAGCTCAGATGGGCTCAGGAGGAGGCATAGTTAGAAAAGCAGCAGCTAGTAGTTATCAAGGGACATGGCTGCAGAAAATTTGGAGAGATCTTTACATGTCTACTATGCAGCTGCCTCTAGGTTTAAGACTGCCAAAAAGCCCACGGGACCTTTGCAGAGGCTGTTGGCTGCTGTTGTCTGTAGAGGTCAGCCAGGTCTGCTCCCTCTCTGCTTCATCTCTGCGTTTGGAGCTCCAGGAGGCTTAATAATGGGTTTGCTTTTTTTCGTCTGAGACTTGCTGAAGCAAACCTTATTAACTTTTTGTGAAGACAGCCCTAATTCATTGTGGGGATTATGCTTAGCATGTAATTTCCATGCTGCTGATGTAAGAAGGTGCAACACCAATCAATTTACCATGTGCAGCTCTAGCCTGGAATAGAGCACCTCATTTGCCAGTTTTTCAGCAGGCAGAGAGATTTAGCATTGCACCACTTGCCTGGTAATGCGTTCTGTAAGATGCCAATTTTGTAACTTCACAGTGCCTATTGAAATGAATGGCAGTGTGGAGTACAGAGCCCTGATGAAAACAAGGAAAAGCAAATGCTTAGAGTGGAAGCATGGCTGCATGGACCTACAGAGAGTGTTTTAGGCATCTCAGTGAAACACAGTTATCTGCTGTTGGGTTTTGGTTTTGTTTACTGCTTTGCAGGTTTTTTTTAACCCCTTTCTGCCAGTGCTAAGAAGCCTCATCCCGCAGAGCTACAGAATTTCCAGACCGGGTTCCTGTTCAGTTTATAGCACAGGCAGAAGACATCTAGTTTGCCTGCGTTGCAGTCTTTTTCTGAGAACTGTAGCTGGTGCTGTCTGATTGTTAACATGAAACCGGGATGTCTCCGGTGTAGGAATCAACATCTAGTGTGTTGTCACCTGAGTCCTAAAAACCTGAATGTGCTACCAAACTATGAGGATGTGCAAAAAAAGGAGATATTTACTAAAGTGAAATCATGAAGGCCAGTCATTTAATTATGTTCAGATTTTACAGATACCCACAAAGAAAGAAAAAAGGGAAATGTATCATTAAATATTTGTTCATGGTTTATAGTATTGACTCCATTAGTAGCACTAAGGGTGTGTGGTCAGGGGGGAATTTCTAAAACAAAAGCTGGGAGTAATTAATGATTGTAAGGTATAGTGGATGAAATACTCGGTTCAGTCTTGGACCCTACACTATAACCCTCTTTTTGACAAAGATAATTTGAGGATATTCATGGGTTGGATTTTTTTTGTTGTTCTGTTTTATTGTTGAAGAGGATGGAAGGAGTTTTCCTTTTAGGAAAGACAGTAGACATTTCACCAAGCCCTTCTTATTTGTAATGACTTCTTTGTGTGCTGAAAGAATTATCTGTGTAATCTGCCATGGTTTCATCAGTGACTACATTAATGATACAAATGAATGGTCTCAGTTATCACAATTTTATTGAAATAGCCTCTTCTCCCTTCCCCCCACTCTCTTTCATATCATTACAGTGACCTTGACAGCTGATTGACTGAGATACATGTATTTTCCAAATGTACTAAATGAATAGTCCTAATGTTTATTTTTGAGGATTAGAGAAATATTTCTAGCATGATCTATGGTACTGTAACACAAGAGAAAATAAGGGTCTGTGTAACTGTTCTCTTACAACATCAGGAGTCTGCAAAGCAAGAGGGAGAAATCTGCTGCAGCTTTTAATGCCTGCAAGCTCCAGGAGAATAGGGAAAGCAGACAAGCTTGGCAGATTTTTTCGGCGTATCTCTCAGCCAGAGGCAAGCACAAGCAGTCCCAGACTCAGACATTTCTCACTCTGCCTGTTTTGGCTCTGAAATGACATTTTAGCTATGTTTGATTTTTTAATTTATCACATTTAATGCTGTAGATTACATGTTTTTAAACTATTGCTCATTATCATTTGAATCCTTTTATGCACCTTTTGCTCTGATGTTGGAAAATGTGTGGCCTATTTTGGTGTTTAATATTTGGCCTAAGCTGAGTGACTGTCTAATGCTCTGCGTTGTTGCCTTGTGTATGATACCCAGAGCTGCTTGAGCAATTCCCATGGAGAGATGCAGAATTCTCTGATGCTGCAGCAGGGCTAAGGATTAAAAATTCTAGGCTAAAACCCAGTAGTGTTAACGAGGGGGACCTTTCAAAATCGTAATTTATAGGACCAATAATTGATGGCAAGAAAGAACCTCTAATTTATTTGTGCAAATTCACAAGCTGCTCTTATTTTGCAGCCTCTGTTCAGCTGTGGAGGTCACGTCTGGGCCGGGTGATGTACTCCATGGCAAACTGTCTGCTAATGATGAAGGTACGTGGGTGGCAGAACTGCAGAGGTACCGTATATTCCAGAATAGAATGTCAGAGAAAATGCAAGTGAATTACTGGTGCAGAGATAAGGAAAGACTACCTGACAGTACATGAAGGTTTTGCTTAGTGAAGAATTAATTAGGCTTAATAATGTCTTATTTAATAGATAGCTATTTGCAGTAATATTCTTTGGGAACATATCTGTACTTATTTCTCCCCAAATCATCCTAGAGAACATGCAATAACAATACAGAATTTGCATTTTTAAATTGAATTTTTCAAACACTTAACTAAATGCTCTAATTAAAAGCAATTATGTGCTCTGCCTTTTTCAAACTGTGCACTAGGAATGTTGCTCTGTTTGTGAGGTTTAATAACGCCGTAGCTTTTGTATCTGATAGAGATCTAAAACATCTAAATACGTCCTCCCTTGTCAACTGATCTCACTTGTAATATGTCTTCTTTCAAGTTTAAATCCTCACTAGTGGGTAGGGGTGGAAGAGAAAGCAATAAAAGCAAAAGTGACTAGCTTTCACTGCTGGGGCTTTCCCCTTCATTCCTCAAGTTTTTTAACCAATTGTACTCCGTTTGGTGCAACACTCTTAGCTTCTCCTTGTATTCAAGAAATAGAAATACAAACGACTTCTGCCGATGGCGTTGTGGCCAGGAAAGCAGGGGTGTCGCCATTCTTGCGGCACACTGCTGTTATCCTGTTTGTGCTTTACAGATCAATTAGCAGCAACAGCCTTGGAGCAGGGCTGTCAGCAGTAGAATCTTCACAGGCCGAGATTTGCACTCCTGGCTCCCTGCACTTCAGTTGCCGAAGGTCATGCCAGATCTGATCCTCTGATGTTTACTGAGCTACTTCCCAAACAAGGCTCCATTCTTAACATAACAATACCTCCAAAAATATGATTTCTTTTTTCTTTCTTTTCTTTTTTTTTTTTTTTTTAATGTAAGAGACACCTTTACATGAAATGGAGTATTCTTGTTATGAGAATTAGGGGAAACACACTTTTCATGATTATATTGTAGTAAGAACATTTCTATCTTGCATAGAAGTAATTACTCATTAAAACAATTTGTCTTTTGAAGTAGGTACATGACATAGGTTCATTTTTTAAATAATTCTCTTTTTCTGTAAACAAGTGAAGAAAAGCATGAGCTGCTATACCAAACAAAGTAGAATATATAAATAAAAAAATATTGGTATATATATTTTCAAGAACTTCACTTTTTGCTGTAAATTCTCTTTTAACTCATATATTTTTCATGTACACACAAATTTACATGCACACTCAGTTCTCACCTTCCTCTTGTTTGGTCTTGTTAGTCCTATTTTCTTTGGGTAATATAGAAATACAGAAATATATTTGTAAATACCAATTATAATCTTTTTGGAAATGATATTTCAGAAATACTTCAGGTCAGATACTCCTTAAGATTAATTGCATTTAGGGCTATCTTACAGCTGTTAAATTAGAAATTTATGGTTCACATTAACTTCCAAATTACACACAATTGCTTGTTAATGCATAATTACTTCCATCTGAAATTTGCGTTTCAGTGCATTGGCTATAGGGTACTTGTGAGTCTTTCAGTTTTCAGGAATATCCCCAGAACATTCTAACATGCAGCATACTGTTGTCATCATCTCCACCTTCTAGAATATTCAGCATGAATCTATTCAAATAAGTTTTAAACACACTTTTGTAAGTTCTCCCATGAGCAATTATATTAATTTAACACGGTTCCACCATTTTTTGCTGTTGTACCATATACTTTAAAAACTGCATTTGTTTTTATTCGAGTGTTTCAAGTGCATGTAATGTGAGAAAGACCCAACGAGTTCATTCTCCGAGCCAGCGCCATCTATTGCCATCTAGTGACCATTTACAATATTGCAACACTGCTTCATCCCCAGGCACTGTTAGGTCATAGAATACCTTGGGCAAGTAGTTGATGATGACAATAATAATAAATTATTAAAGTAAAAATGTATGACTTTGGTATAAAAAAAAACCCAAAGATATTATCTTACTTTCACTGACCTCTTTCTTTGGCCGAAAAAACAACAGTAGTATTTAACAAGGAACAATCTTGTCAGGATTGACACTTGAAAATTAAAAAAAACCCCAGTTTGATTAGATGTTGACTCTATAACTATTTAAATCTACTTTCTTTATCTTCAACTCTTAATTATTAAGTTTATTTCATGTCATATCTTTTCTGCATTACTTATCTGAATAAAAAAATTCTCTTCATCTAGTACAATGATTTTTGCCTTCTTAAATGTGCCTCGTTTGTTTCACAGTTAAATATCTCTTTAAATTTTGAGATGGAGAGGTATATTATTTTGGAGGTAGTGAGTGAAGGCAAATTGATTCACCCAGACACAGGAAATCAGTCATGTCGCCTACACCCTGGGAATATCTTTCCTAGGTACTGAACTCTATCTGCTGTGTCCCTTTATCCATGTGACCTGTGACAGTTTGGTAGCAGTTCAAGGCAATCTTTCTTTCCTGTTCATCTCCCTTTCTTTTTATAATCTTTCTTAAATGGGTTCTACCTTCTTTCTGTGCACCACTGTTGGACTTAACCAAATGACAAAGAAATGGTGGATTGCAGTTATATCAATTGATATCAAATAGCTTTCCCATTTCCTGTGAACAAGTGGAAACTTAAGGAAAGATGTGGAAATACAGCAGGAGGGGAAGGGGAGACCATGTAACCTCTCACTGTAGACTTCCATTTACAAGAACTGGACAAGGGCTTATGTCACTATGAAAGCATATCCTGAATATAGCAGCATGAGGGGAATATTAATTTAACATACAGCTGATGGTGTGCATTGTTTCATTTCAAAAGTCTTATCTGCAAAATGCCTGTCACTTCACTAAATCACCATGGAAGTGTCTTAAAAACTTTTAAAGTTCTTTTCATCAAAGCTAAAATCACTTTTGACATTATCTTACCAGATTTTTATCTCTCTAAGGAATAAACACTTAAGTATTTTCCATATATATTACAAATGCACTCTAATTAAAGACACATTTTGTGCTTTTTAGTTTTCTTCAGTGTTGTGTTAGCTTTTGTAGAACTTGCCCTTCGTAAAACAAAAGCATTAGAATTGATTTTCATCTGGGTATATAATACAATTAAAATGGTACCAAGAAGGAGGTAACAGCTTGTGCTAGTGACACAAGGGACTGATGCCTGAAGACTTTGGTTCCTCTCTGATTTAAAGGAGAAAGACTGCATGAATCATCATGTCTTTTGCCTGACTGCTGCAGTACAGCTCTCTGGATTCATAGCACTGTGAATCTCTGCTTTCATAACCCTTCCACAACTGCACTAGATAGAGAAGAAGGATAAGTTATTCCTGTCCTCTCTCCCCAAAACAAAGTATTTATGAACTATCCACTCCTTGTAACTAAGATTTTTAGTCTAAGATTTCTTGAACTTACTCTCAGCATTCTACACATCATGGTCCTTCATATTTATTTCTAATTAAGTACTTAAGGTGGTGGTGAGAAAAATATGAAAATAGGTAATGCAGTGACCATGAAGGGAAGTACAGTTATACTGTGGTGCATTGAAGGAAAAACACACTGCAGCAAGTAGGTCCAGTGGCTTACTACAACTGTTTTGGATTAGTATATGTAATGTTAGCCCCAAATTTTTGTAATAAAAGAGGTATTGAGTTATAAAACACTAGGCTAATTCTCATTCATATCCTAAATAGTGTAACTTCAGACCTTTTTTTGGGTTGGTTTTTTTTACTAAGGTGTGGAAAACTGGAAGGCTCCTAATCTTTTTAGATTAAAGACCATGACAATATGTCATCCCCATCTCTAAGTCTTAAGATCACAAGCTGTAGTTGTTGGGGTTTTTACTGGGAATACTTAGTATGATTTACTCCTCACAACCACACCTTGTATCAATCAAGACTTCACTCCTCAGAAGCGGTGTGTATTTATCATTCCATCAGACAATCTTTGTTGTATTATGCCACATTAGCAAAACTGTGAATGACAGCAGTCTTTAGTGAGTGAGACCAAATATCATCTATTTTACAATGTGTTCCATCAGAAGGAGATGTCAGATAAGATGCCTCTATAACTTCCCACAGAATAGTATCATTCTGTATCACATGTAATACATTCAAGAAATCTCCTAATGCTTTCAGCATAGTGCGGGGAGAATAATAAATGCATATTAAACTCACTGTGGGATCCACAGATGACCACAGAATGAGATTGTATTTAGAATAAAGATGTTTCACAGTTTCATCCTGGGGCCATCCTTGTTTTTGCTTTTGGACATCTAATTTAGTCTATTGTCATCTGGAAGAAATGGGTCCTGTTCCTGTGACACATACAGCAAGGCATGGGGTGGGTAAGCACAGATGTGCTGTGCTGTGCTGTGCTGTTGTATGGAAAGAGGATGCAGTCACCACCAACAGAGTGCATAGACTCTTAATGTTCACCTCGAGTCTCACATTTCAGGAGCTGTCAGTGTTTAGGTACCTGTAGTTGTAATGCATATGGTGTTGTAGATGAGTACATATAAAAAGGAGGAGGGTTTCCCTGACTAGGCCAAACCGGTGAAGCCCCTGAAGCATGGGCTTCTAAAGACTTGGCTGCTTGTTCCTACCAATGCTGTCTGCTATGTACCCGAGGGAGCCTGTGCTGCTGTGATGGTGCAAACACTGCCCACTCGTGCAGCTTCTTGTGGCTGAGGCTTTTCTGCAGTCAGTTCATGCTAAGCTGGCAGAAGCATTTTTCTATCAACCTGCTGCATGGTGTCCTGGGAATTGTTTCTGCATCAGTTTGGGGATGTCATTGCAGAGTCCCAATCCCTCGTGGTTGTGCTGTGCATCTTTGTTGTAGCCAGAGCCTTAGAGTGTGCACAAAAGTGAGCACTGGGTAAGGGGCAGCTTTAGACCACAGAATTTGATACAAGAAAATTATTTCTCTAGTGATGCGTTTGATGCTTGTGATAAAAATCACAGCCCGAGACAATCCTTCAGATTTAGTAGATTATACTCTTGGAAGAATTAATAGGTACTACAATCACGGCTGGGGTTCCTTTAAAGAATTTCATCACTTTTGAGTTGTGAATGATAAATACAGCAGCATTTAAATAAATGTACTTGTGTATGTGGCATGTTAGTTTTCCTCTGAACTCTTTTTATTACCAGTAATAAGTATGAACTTGTCATGGCACATTAGAATTGTAATAAACTAAATGCTAATAATTAATTGTTCAGAATTAGTCATTATACCCACAGTATACAAGTTGTTTGCAAAAGAAAGGTCCTGCAGAGGGTTTTCCTGGGCTAACTCATCTCCTACTATTGCAGGACATGTAATTTCTCTCATATACAGATCAGACTCCAGACTCCTATCTTGACTTTTTGTTTGTATGAAACAATATGTTTTAAAGAGAATTATTTGGGTCAGAACAGACCTTTAGAGGTCATTTAGTCTAACTTACACCTGCCATGTGCTGGGACCTCAGGAATTGGATTGGGTTACTGAGAGCACCAACCAATCTGACCTGGAATGTTTCCAGGGATGGAGCATCCTCCGTATCTCTGGGTAACCAGTTCTAGTGTTTCACTGCCCTCATTGTAAAAAATTCATTCCTTATATCTAGTCTAAATGAACCCTCTTTTAGTTTAAAACCACTACCCCTTGTCCTATCACAACAGGCTTGATACATAGGCCCATTTCAGGTACTGAAAGGCTGCTGTGAGGTCTCCCAGTGCTTTTTCTTCTCCAGGCTGAAGAACCCCAACTCTCTCAGTCTTCCTTCTTGAGAAATGTTCCAGCCCTCTGACCATTTTTGTTGCCTTCTTGTGGATCTGCTCCATTCATTTGTTTCCTGTGCTGAGGACTTCAGAACTGGATACAGGGTTTACTCCTTTTAAGTGTATCCTCAGGAAAAGAAATTCATTACATCTGGGGAACATTGCTTCCTCAAACCAAGCAGGAGATGAAGAAAACCAGCCTTTACTAGTAGCTGTGATCACATTAGGGACAAGTTAAATGAATACTATAATTTGACTAAGAACAATGGTAGGACAGAGAGTATCCCAAGATGTCTGTGTAGTTTTGTAAAGATAATTCTACATTGTCCTTTGCTTTCTAATTCTTGTATTAAGTTGAAGGGCAGGACTGTTGGGAAGCACCAAAGTGTTACAGCACAGAGAGCCCTCAGCCTTTGCTTGGCCTGGCTCTTATAAGCAAAGGCAGGTGCTCTCTTCCTCTGCTCACGTTTCTCCTGCAGCAACTGAGGCTGGCACAGCCCTGGGCCAGTGGACATTCCTACAGCTATAGCCTGTCTCAGCAGAGAGCATGGGCAGTGCCTCTCACTTCTGCCTGCCAAACCATGTGTCCAGGCTCTGAAAGTCATGTCCTCTCGAGGTCATTGAATTCCTGCAGTTCAGCCATGAAACAGCCGAACTGCAGGAACCAGTCATATGGGCATTTCTTCCCAGTGGGGAATGGGACCCGTTTGTTTAATCTTCTGTCACTGTTCCTTAGCTGGAAGGTATCCTGGCATTCCATCTTGAGCTCAATGCTGCCCCCTGCCAGCATGGCCTTCGTGCCAACGTGGTGTCACTTGCAAAGCTTTCTGCAGATCAGAACTAGTCTTGCCCTCACTTAGTTTTAGCCCAAATACGTTTTCTATTCAGATTACCTGCTTTTACGTAGTGAAAAACCCAACAATTTGGTGGAGGAAGGAAAAATGTCTTGTTTCCCTTGGTAGTAGTGGTAGTTTGTCATCTGAAGATGTGCAGGAATTGCAATTTCTGTCATGTGATATTTTTTACAAGATCATGTGAACAGGCACTTCACAAAGCTTTGGAATATAGTTTGTTAAACCATGTAAATTACACACATATTTGGAGCATGAGACATTTCTCAAGTATGTATACCCCCAGTCACACAGAAGGTGCTTGACTTTCATCCTAAATCATAATCTAAGATGAAGAGTAAATGTTCAGAGTTTTATTTTGTGGCTTTTAGCTACAAAAAGAATATGATTCTGTAAAAAAAAAAAAAATAAAATAAAAAGATCCCCTATGTATGCAGTTCCAGCATAACTGAGACCAATGTAGTCAGCTGCTAGTGCCTACAGTGATTGATAGAAATTCTGTCCCACTGACAAGGTGCAAATACTTTACTTCTGTTGGACTATGTCTTTACAAAGAAGGTGACACAAAGGCTGAAGCATTCTGAGCTTAAATACCTAATTGTTTGCTTTTCACCCTTAGGACTACGTGCTGGCTGTAGATGCTTACCACTCTGTCATCAAATATTACCCACAGCAAGAGCCTCAGTTGCTGAGTGGAATTGGAAGGATTTTCCTTCAGGTATGCATTTTATTCTAAATTTGCTAGGTGATACTGCTGTTAATAGCAACATAGAGAATAATCGTTGCATTTAAAACTACACCTGTTTATGTAGGGCACGTGTCAAATGGTAGAGGCAATACTCAAAACAAAAACCCTTCTACTATGTCATTTTAGGTACAATTAGGAAACGTGAGGCACCTATAGTATTAAAAGTGCATTAGCAAACAACATGCTGTAGAAAGTTATGATAGTATTTTATTCAAAAAGTGACATTCTGCTTTCCCTAAAACTAAGGGTAAAGCTCCCATTGACATCAGTGAGACAGAATATCACTAAAAATCACATCTCACTGCCTCGAACTGTATGCAACTCTCAGTCACACTGTATAACTGCCATCTTCATCTAGAAAAAATTCAAGAGTGTCCTTCTTTTGTCCAGATCATATCCCTGAGTAAACAGGGGAGGGCACCTTAAAAGAAAAAAGCAGTATACAGGAAAGTATAATTTATTTCCATGTAACTATTTAATTACAAATAAAAATAGATGTCTTTTTATTTTTCATTAAATGATGCTAATTAGCTATCTGATTTTTAAAATTTTTAGTATTTCACAAGTTCTTTGCAGTCCTTTCATATTTCTGATACTAATAATACAAACTTTTCCTCTTTTATCTACTTTTATTATTAATGATAAACCTAATTTTGGATTGTCAGGTATTTACAAATGATCTTATTTGTGACATTCCTGTCATAAAATTATATTGAAATTTACTCTTAGTAGATAATTATTAACATTGCTTGCCTGAAATCATAGAATGTCATTCAAATTCAATTATGGAATTTCAGTTCTCAGCAGGAGCATAGTTTCACAATGTGTTAGACATGTCTGTCTTTAATAGTCTCTAGTTTAAAGTGGATCTCCATCACTATGGAGCAATTTTATGATATTGGCTGCGTGCATTAATTATTACCTAAATAGGGAACATAATAATTATGCATATTAAAAGAAGGGTACTGTAAGTATGCAAAATTCTAAAGGAAGTACAAGTTATTAATACTTCTGGTCTTACTGGGAAAATGACTGGGTATGTTACTGGCACTGCCTTTCTGACAAGAGTGTCTGCTGTGATGTCACACCCAAAGTCTGTTTGTCATTCCATTTGCTATGAAGAAATTTTCACTCCTGTGAGGAAAGCATCTCCTAACTTACAGAATCATTTGAAAGCACTGACCTCCACAATGCTGGCTGTGACAACAAGACTCCAGTTCCAAGGGGTTTTACTGTCAGATCTGGACATTACAAAAAGGGTTATGAGGAGTCCCTGATATTTTCATGTGACCTAGATAGAAGTTAAAAAGAATAATTTCTAAATGCACATCCTTTCTTCTAGCACGTTAAGGAGATAAGGTTTTATTGCTTGGTTTGTCTTTTTCTGTGACAAAATTTTTAGCTCTGTCTGGTGCAACAGAAGCAAGATTTTGATATATTACAAGAAATAGGCAGTGTCCAGGTAATCAAAACCAAGCCATTTGAATTAAAGAAAGATATATGTGTTGCAGTCCTGGGCATCATAATTTTGGTAAGATCACTCTGTGCTACTTGTACACTCTTGACAAGGCATTCTCTGGAAAAAAAACAAAATGTCTTGCAGGTAATATAGAAAAACAAATTTCTCTTATTCAAATGTCAAAACTTCTCAAAAACAAGTAGTAATTCCCAAATAACTCAGACTGTGCTGCTAACTTTGAACATTTACCAAGAGAGGCATAAGGCAGCCAGATTCCAGTTGCTTACAAGTCACACCCACTGTTTGATATTGTTTTATGTTTTGATACTGCTTTATAAAACAAAGCAATAAAGTAGAATAAAGTGTAATTCAGGAGTTTAACAGAAAAAAGTTGCAACCTATTTCAACATGTAAAACTTTTTTTTATTTATTTATTCTGCTTTGATTTATTTTTTCTTAATTAAATTGAGCTAACTAGTCTAAGGCATCATGTCCTCTTTATCTTCACATGTAAGTGGAACATAAGGAGGTCTAGATCTGATGCCCAGCCTTTGGCTCTTGCCTTAAAAAGTGGGAAATGAGAATTGTAGAAGTGCAGAATGGAGGAAAAGACAGAGGCTATCACAAAGAAATTTTCATAAGGACTGTAATTCTGTCAGCACTCACTTGACTGTAAAACAGAAATTCGCATGAAATAGAGAAACTGAATACATTTTAGTCTCTAGGATTATATTGTGTAGCTCTCACTATCCAACATATGCAAAATTTCCATTTGAATAAGTACATTAAGAAAAAATTTAAAAGCTGCCTGACCTTAACCTCTGCAATAAATTGCTGCAAAACTGAGTAAAAAGCAATAAAAAATTTCTAGAAGAAAAATAATCTTGGTTTCCAGACAAACAGCAAAGTTAAGCACATAGTATATTGGAGGTTCCTTGTTGAGAATATGATTATATGAGGTTAACAGTAGAATCTCCATTTTCATTTGAAAATTTTAATTGTTATTAGATACTGAAGTCATACTTTCTGAACTCAGTTAAATAAGTGATAAAGTGATAAATAAGTTAATAAGTGATAAAGATCACTTAAATTGGTTAAATTCCTTTAATTACTAATTAAAACTAGTTATTTCTTTTAAATTATCTTTCCCACCAAAAAATTTTAAAAACTAAACTTTCCCCTCTGTGGGAAAATGAGATTTTAAGAGTGTGGCATGTTTGCTGAGAAGATGCTAAGAAATCAGAACTATTCATGATCACAAATAATGTCTGATTAGTATCAAAGCAAAGTAGATTTGGACTCATCAAGCTCCCAGGAGAGCAAACTGGTTTAGAAATTGATTGTTCTCATGGTTAAGGGATTCCCAGGCTGAAAATACTCGAGGACAGATTCATTTACACTTTGCCAGCATTATCCTCTAGTTGAATGTAATTATTTTCTTGGTGGCTGACATCTTTAATGGGACTTATAGAGAGAAGTTGTATCCTTTGTCATTATAACTGAATGTATGTTATTTTAGAATGAATAATACTCGTTTTGAGTCCAGTTACATCTGGGCGAAATGCATCTGTTTTGTTAGAAAAAGATTATTAATGGGTATTCCAGAAATGCTTGGTAGGTGAACAGTAGCATCTTTGACTGCAGTCTTCAACTGGATCATCTCCTAAATGTAAAGAAGAATAATTTCCTTATGTTGACAAGGGATAAGTCTCATGGCTAGAGGTGAAGCAGTATCTGTTATATTAGTGGTGTTAGTAGGGCTTTGGGTACTGCCACTGTGATATTCCCATAAGCAAATTGGGAAGAAATGTAGATGAAGCCTTCAGATGGATGGATGTTTGCTGTCTCTGAAAAGTACAGTTGGAAAGTCATTTGAGGATGACTAGAAGTCAGTGCTAGATGATCTTCTCCACAAGGATCTCTTTAGGATTTGTAGGGTTTGTATTTTTTGTTTAGGTAGTATTTGTATGATGAAATGTGAAGCATGCTTGTAAAAGGTACAGATGATTCAAAGCTGGGAGTGGTACAGACACTATGAAGGGCGAGATCAGAATGCAAAATAATCTTGACAAGTTGAGAAGCTGAAATGTTAAATTGGCTTTGATTCAAACAGCAAAGGCAAAATGCTACCAAAGACTGCGAGTAATGTACAAATACAAAATAAGAAGCAACAACTGAGAGTAGAAAACTACACAAGGGTAAACAAACTGGACTTTCAGATACTTGGCTTAAAAGCAAAATTCATATTCACGTGTGAAACATAATGTTTCAGTATTATCTATGAGAAAGGGGTAAATACTGCTTCATCTGAAAATTGATTCTCATTCTAGAACGGGAAGAAAAAAATTTTCAAGTACGCAAAAGACTGTAAAAAAACAACCCTCCCCCACCACTATGGCCAGGACAAAAAGCTGAAGTAAAAAGTGCAGTAAGATAGAAGGTATTTTCTAATGCTAGAGCAATTTAAGAATTCTGGATTAAGTTTCCTAGTAAAACTCAGATGTGTAATATCCACCATCTGAGAGCATTAAGGAGACTTCAACACATTTGTCACAAACATTTTTCATAATGTTCCTAAACAAATGGGCCCCCCACCTGAAGACTGCCTGGTTTCCATGGCTTTATGTTTCTGAACTAGTTTAATTTTACTCTTTTTGATATATTCCGATAGATTTATTTTGCCCAGTAGTAAGTTTTCATCTTCTTCCATATCTCCAGCCTGAAAAATATGCTGCTAACTTATTTTCCAAATAAGTGGCCTTCTTCAAGTATTTTTTTCATCTCAAAGAGCAATATATGTGACACACCTTTAGGTGAAATACCCCTTCTGTTTCAGGAATCCCCTTCCCCATTCCACTCCCCATCAAATCTATACTTCTTTATGCCAGTTTTCAAATCTCTCATTCCTTCATCCTGCTCAACTCACTCTTTGGTAAATGCAAATGGACCACCTTCCCAATATCCTCGGTGGCCCATTGTAGTGGAGTTGTTTTCTGACACGTGGTGTGATGCACTGAAGTTGCCTGGTGGCCCCTGGCTATGACCCAGAGGCTGTGGGTTGACCAGGTGTGAGTCCTGTGCTACCTAGAAGGCCACTGGTGTCTGTCTTCCCTTCCCGTGGACTAATACCCCATCTCATTGGAAGTAACTCTGACCTTTTCTCATTTTCAGCTACTTTTTTGAACTGTTACAACGAAGGAGCTAAATGAGGATATGGGGCCTCCCTGCCCTACAGTCCTTGAGAGCTCCACAGTCGCCAGCTGAGAAAACTGCCTTGGGCAAACTGAACATGCTTTTAGGGTGCTTTTTATTACCTTTATGTGGCTCTTCAAATGCATTGTTTGGTAACAGGTATTACCTAGTCACCTTGGTGTAAAGAGATTGATAATGGACTTTGATACGTTATATATGTTTTTGTGTCCTTATAAGATATAATCATGATGTAGCTCTTTTCTTCTTATTGTGGTTACTTATTTACGATTTTTCTGTCTAGATTGGAGACATAAAAACTGCAGAAAAATATTTTCAAGACGTTGAGAAAGCAGCTCACAAATTGGATGGACTACAGAGCCAAATTATGGTTTTAATGAACAGGTAGATAACTTAATAGCTAAATAAAACTTCTTAAAATGTAGTTCTAAAAGTATGCAAGGTGATTGTTAAACTACCTTTGAGACAATCCTGTTCACTTTCTCTCTTTTATGGGACTTCATCTGTCATAAGTGAGACTGAATGGCATACAGACTCAGGAGATCTCTATAACTTGGTACAGTTGTATTATCCTGCATTGAAACTGTGACCTTTCAGTTGATTTTACAAAGCTTTTTCTCATTCTTTCAGGCACTGCATATTTTCACTGTGTTTTTTCAATATACATTTACATAAATAACTCTTAGGAGAGGAGAAGTTATTTTGGGCAGTTATCCTACAATCAGATCTGCCAGGAAAGTACCACCCAGTAGCTTCAAAGGATGCTTGAACACACTGTAGTAAATCGAGCTGTGTGATGGGGAACACACTTCGCAATGGTTAGCACATTGGCTTAATATGTTTAGAAGATACTATTCAAAAGTGCTCTGAAAATTTTATGGCTGATTTCATGAAGAGAAATAATTCTGGGAAGAGAGTATCTGCATTTGAATTAATAAAAACACAATGAAGACTGTTGCTTTTGTAGGCAGAAAATATAATAGCTGAGTGATCCAAGTTGTCATTCCATTTGTCTGTAAATCAGCGTCTCCTTCACACTGTGAAGAACAAATGTCAGAAACTCTCACATCTGTAATAGGAAAAATAAAAAATGGCGTCCATTCTTTTTTAAATGTATTATTACCTTGGGTTTTTGAGGAGAACTCATTTATATGTCACTTACTTTCTAGAGCATTTCTCCACCTTGGTCAGAATAATTTTGCAGAAGCTCATCGATTTTTCACAGAAATTTTAAGGATCGACTCATCAAATGCTGTGGTAAATCTTCAAATTGCTACATATATAATGAACACCTAAATTATTCTCATAATACTTCATGCATGGATTTAATTAATATCCAGAGTATGCTCAGAGCTTTACAGAAAAATGGGATGTGGCATATGTGCCAAAAGGTTTTCAGTATACATAAGGGAAATGGGATGGGAAATTAAGAACCAGTCTGTGTGAAGGGCGTGAATACTTAGGCATGCATGTAGAAATTCTGAGACACTCTTCTTTAACGGGATCTTTGCAAAAGCACTTTTTTTTACACTCACTGTTTTTAGCATAGACTTGCATGTCAGAAAAAGAAACAGTAGCTGCCAACGTGTATAAAATTAACTTGATTTCACACAACATTGAAAGGATATTGTAATTCTAAACATGAAATTTTTAACACATTGCATATCAGAGCCTTGGGTTCCTGTCACAAGCTGAGATCAAAGAGCTGTTTATTTACCTTTGGTTTCCTACACCTGGCAGTTTCCAATGCACGGTCATGTAAGAGTGTTCCTGAGAAGTCAGACAGCTTACCCCCAGTAATCTGCTCCAAGGCCACTTGCAGACTGGACTGAGTTTAAGGAACACATGAATTGCATTATTTTGCAGGCTGTAAAATACTGTGTATTGTAAATCACACAAGATCAGTAAGGTTTCCTGAATGGACAAAAAATATTTTTTTCTAAAAGGCCATATTCTTCCTTTATCTGCAGCTTTCAGAAAATATGAAAGTTTCTGGTGCTAAACATGTTATATCACTTTGTACTGTTTCTGTACAGTATCTTTCATTAACTCATAAAACCTGTGTTGTGTGGTAAGGAAGATGGAACCTGACTTGATCATTTATGATGTATTTAGACTGCCCTATCTGCTAGATTTGTGTGAAGCCAGTTGTAGATGCCTTTGGGATAAGAAAGAATCTTCCTGTTGATTATGTGGACACATGAGCCAGAGAGAGAGAAAAACACTTCTGAAAATATAGTGAAGTAATTTTTTAAAAAAATCTATGAAAATGACTGCATGTAGAGACTCATGTGGTTTCTGAAATTTGTTTCACTTGGCTTTCAGAATTAACTGACTAATGTCCTATACTATTTATATTTCATTTTAGACTCCATCTTTTAGAGTTTGAGCTCTTAGAAGTCAGCAAGTTGTACTGGCAGAGGGTGAAGTTTGAGAATTGTAAGAAGAAAAGGATAGCATTGTATAATTAATAATATATTTTAGTTTGCACACGCATGCAGAATAGCAGTTCTTAGCATACAGTAAATATGTTGTAACTGCAGATGCTAGGCTTCTTTTCCTTCTCTTTCATCACTTGTAAATACATATATATATATTTATAAACACACTATTTATTTACAATATGTTTTTCACCAGGCTAACAACAATGCTGCTGTTTGTCTTCTTTACCTGGGGAAACTGAAGGATTCCCTGCGGCAGTTGGAAGGAATGGTTCAGCAGGACCCTCAGCACTACCTACACGAGAGTGTCCTCTTCAACCTGACTACTATGTATGAACTGGAGTCATCTCGCAGTATGCAGAAGAAGCAGGCACTTCTGGAGGCTGTAGCTATCAAAGAGGGCGATAGCTTTAATACTCAGTGTCTCAAGTTAGGATAGATCATTTCCAACTATTTTTTCCAGCAAGGCTGATTTTTTAAATTGTATATACTCTCACCAATGTGTAAATGTGAAATAAAATCTATTCAATTATGAATATTCAGTGGCATTACTACAGAACCCCTCATCTCTAACAGGCCTGTCATTGCAAAAACTGTGCTGACTTAGAGCCAGCTTCATCCCTACAGGTCTGTTACTGTCCAGTTACTCCTCATTACAGTGTACCATAATATATATATACAATCAACTACTCAGATTCTTTTATGAGAAAAACTGAATTTAACCTTATATTGTCTTGATGATTTTTCAGTAGTCAGTGAGCAAGCCACATGAGCTTATTTCATCAGCTAGGAGTTATTGACACAATATCAGTACATGTATTACAGAAATTCTGAATGAACTTCTCTTCATTTGCTTCTACTGTGTGTGCTTCGTTTTGTCCCCATCACTCTTGAATCTTACACCTTTGTGTGTTTGTAGCTGTCAGAGAAGGCTGCTTGATAACCATGATTCAGAGTCACAGCATGGCTGAGGTTGGGAGGAAGTGCTGGAGGCCATCTTGTCCAAGTCCCAGTAACACAGGGATATGTCCAAGAGCATGTGAGGGAGTCACGGAGTCCTGCACAGTATCAATTTCCCACAGTATGAGGGAATGTATTAAATGATCTCCCTGTACTTCCTTGTTTTTGTGTTACTGTTAAATCGTTCAGATTAAAACACGTGGAATCTGCAAAGCTCCTCCACTCTGGCATTCTGCTGGGTAGAGAAAGGAGCAGTGCCAGTTGGAGTGGAAACACAGCGGATTTCAGCTCAGTTCCTCTCCCATTATGAAGCAAAAACACTGAACATGAAGTATTTCCGAGGGAAAATGATGCAGAGCCTGAGGCAGAGGTATCTAAGGGTTAGGCCACACAGAGTGGAAGCAAATGGGGTTCAGGACACAAGGCAGTTATCAGTGATGCAGCAGTATCAGCATACACTGATATTGGCATCCCTCAGAACACAGATTTTTGGAATCAGAGTACCACTGTGATACCAGTGTATTTCACACTCTGCCCACATTTCTCCCTTCATCTGTATTGTAAAGATTCAATGCAGATACTCCCACTCATACATGAATACAATATATGCATCTGTTCCTAGGGGTGTTTTATTGTTTGAGATTTAATGCTTAGCAATTGGACTAGTTCCTTGTCATAAATCACTGCCATGGGACAGTTCTGTAAATGTGTTACATTTTTTAATACCATATCCATCAATTAATTCTCACTCCCTTTTAATACCCCAACCTGTATTTTTAAGTAACCAATAACTCATTTTTATGCTTGCCCATCTGGAGATACTGTACATGGGCCAAACAGTTGTCCTCAAAAATCAGCTTGTTTGAAAGCTTCTGCAGTCTAGACGTGCAGTGACATAAGGTTGCTTCAAAGTTGCTGGTCACCTGAAAAGGCATAAGCCTACAGCTTATACAGAAACAGAATTTGCTCCATTTTTACAGTATATTTCTGTTTGACAGGCATACTTGTACACTGAACAGCTAGTTGTGTACCATTCCACTGAAAAAAAATTAAAACAGTTGGTATTTCTGTTTCTGACTTGGCCTCTAGGTTGAACAGCTGGATCTGAATTAAACTTGTGCAGCAATGGGCAGACTTGTCCTAAGGTACCACTACCAAACTCAAAAATGAAATATTCAGCACCACCTGCTTCAGCTGAGCTTAAACACTATTTACATAACTTCAGTGAGTATTAAAATAGTAAATTAAAATTAGTTATATTGTTATTATTCTTTATGAGGTTTTACATTTGTTTAATTGCTGATAGGATTTTAGACAAGGTTTAACAATAATTAGACAGATTCTCAGTTTACATTGAAAACTGAGTTGAAATCACTGTCATTTTCATTTTGTTACAGCTGTTAATCTGATCAGGTATGTTACTCCCTGTACTCTTTTTTTTTAATTCTAGTAGTATATTTTCTCCAGCATAAGTCTGTTTTCTTGGTCATGGGGTTTCTTTGGAGATAAAAAGAACTCCTGGTATGTGACCACCATTATTCTCAAAGATGCCGGGAGCACTGAACATTTACCAGAACATGTAGTGATAGGACAAGGGGCAACAGTTTTAAACTAAAAGGATAAGTTTAGCTTGGACATAAGGAAAATACTATTCCTCTTAGTGTGGCACTGGAATAGTTTGCCCAGAGAGACACCCCATCCTTGGATGCATTCAAGACAAAGACTGGATGGGTTTTGTGCAGCCTGTTCTAGTGGAAGGTGTCTGTGCCCTTGGAGAGGGTTGAACTAGATGAGCTTCAAAAGCGTTTTCCAACCCAAGCTATCTGTAATTCCCATTAATTTTTTTTAAGTAATATGTAAAATAATACAAAAGAGATTCACACACATTTAGCTGAAGTGTCATGTCGTATTGTACTGTTGCCTGCACTTCCAAAAAGTGTCACTTGTCTGTTCCAATGCTAAGTGAAGGTAGCATGATCCATCATCATTCAGCATGCTGAAGCCGCTTGCCTCTTTAAAACTGAAGTTAAAAGCTTCCTTTTTGGTTCTGTAGTGCCTGATACTGCACATGTAAATGACAGTCTGTATTCTCATCAGCAAAGAATAAAAATTTATTATCCTAGTCAGAGTCAAATAACCATTATAAAAGAAACACTCTGAAAGTTCCCTGTTCTTCAAATTTCTCTACATTCTAATTCATGTGTATTACTGCGTAGCTCTCACTTCAGCATGTTTGCTGTGTTCTTATTAGTATAAGCTTTTACTCAGATAAAAATGCCATTAGAGGAGAGACTTGGACTGGGTGACCTCTAAGCTCAGCGAGCCATTAAACAAGTGACATCCTGGTAGACTTTCAGAATAATTAAAATTTAAATGCAAAGGCATACTATCACTGCTGGATGTATGCAAATTGTTAACTGTTTATGAAATGCAGGCAAAACTCAATGTCACTTTATGGTTTGGATGTAACATACATACAAGTCAAGTGTTCGACTTCCCTAAATTCTGCCTGTTACACATCTGAATGCTCAATATGATGTTAAAACATTAAAGCTAAGGACAAACTTTGTCCTCAAAACATTAATTACACTAGGCAATCCTGTTAAATTCAATGAATTCAGCTGAATTTAATGAGGGTTCCTGGTGTAAATGAGGGCAGAGCTCAGTCCTAAAACAGCATGCATATGTCATCTTGCTAAGCGAGAAAAGCTGTGGAAAGCAGAGCCTGAATGCACTGATTGTTGTATTCAAATCTTAAAGCTTAATGTGCCTTAACAGAAGTTTAGCATTTAAATTCCCACTTTTATTAAAGGGAGAAAAGAAGCTGTACTTCAGACATTCAGATAATTACATTATGCACAGAAACTCTGATCCTCAAAAGAACTTGAGCATCTCTCTGGCATTTCTAATAACTAACTGCTGTCCAGGTGACAATGGCATCAACTCACCAGCTGGTCACTGACACTATCTTGGTGCCTCAGTTTTCAGATTGGACACATTGAGTGTTCCCAAAGGCATGTGCAGACATGCCTGAAACTCCACAATGGACTTCAGCCAGTGTACTGGAAAGGATGGTCGTTTCTTCACCTATCCCATCCTTCATGTCAGCAGGAGTGCTCTGCACAAGCTGGATGAGCTCATTGACCTGGTGAAGAACTCCCAGCCAGCTAACACCCTCTTCAGGTACATCTTCATCCTGAGCCTTTCAACACAAGGATGTGCTGGCAATTTCCACGCTGCCCAGGTAGGTTGCTGGGCTTTCTGCACTATAGGCCTAAGAGGGGCACAGACAGCCCCTCTGTGAAGCTTTTGCTGCAGGTGTTTTGCAGATCCACTTGGGGATAAGTGAGGTGTGATCTTTGTGCAGCTAAGTTCTGTCGCTCTCATTTGAGTGTCAGCTGACAACCACATGTGCTGGAGCCGTCTGTAAGAGGAGTGCAGGATATGTGTGGTTCTGCCATCACCAGCTACAGGGAGAAACACATTCCCTCGCCACTTCAACTTGCGACCAAGCAAATGGCAAAATGGGACTGAAGCATCAAATACAGATGTAAATGTATTTCAGACAGGCAGACCCACAGCAGGCAGGGTCAACTTCTCTGAGGTTGCTGGTAGCAACCTATATTGCTGCTGTCCTGAGCAGAAGCCAGAGAAATTAAAGATGGTAAAACAGTGAGTTTATCCAGTACCTCACAACTGTAAGAGTTCAAAGGAAGATGCCATCCACTTCTTCCATCCTGCTTTCGACCCATTTAATTAAACATTGAGGAAGGACTTTTCTTACCAGTGAGTACCTTACAATGTAGGAACCTGCACAGTTTCTGGCATTTGAACAGCAGTTCTGTAGTGCTGGATGCAAACAAGCCCCAGCACTAACTTTCAGGAAATGGTAGCAGAAAGCTGCTTTCCCACTTAGTTCCCCCAGCCAGTCTGGGGATTACAAATTCAAAGAGTCTCACTTTCAAGAGGTGTGAGAGATAGTCACAACCCTGATCATAGGGAGGAAGAGAATGGTGTGGATGGGGAGGAGGAAGTAGGTGCTGCCTTTCCAAGCTATTCTGGATCAACACATAAATTTTCTGTCCTAGATTTGAGCAGTCATCTGCAGATGTTTATTATGTATGAGAGTCATTAAAATGAATCCACCTGAAAGGCAGCAATAATGGCTTATAATTTTCCCACAAAGAGAGGAAAAAATTGGATGTTACCTTTTTGAGGCAACAAAGGAAGTGGGGAGAAGGTTCCTCTTTGGCTTTGAAAAACTGTCAAAACTCTCAGTACTAAATTGAAAAAACTGAAGTAAAGAACTAGAGCTGTTTATTAAAACCCACAACAATCCCCCTCCCCCAAAAAACCAAAAAAACAGAACAACAAAACCACACTATTTGCAATGCAAGATGTGAGCAAGTACTTCAAATTCTGGTACATGCTCCAGTGGCAGGCAGCAGGACTGAGCCCCTGCCCAAGGCTGGGGCAGCAGCCTGTGCATAACCCGGCCACCACTTTGTTTATGCCCCACCACTTTGTTTTGTTACAGCGTCACCAAGGACAGCTCACCTCTTTCCCATGAACAGCAGGTCAGCTTTAAGTTGCCTGAATCATTTGGGAAAAAAAATAAGCCTGAGGGCAGGCCCGAATCAAATTCTCCCAGCTCAAATGCCTGTGATCACAGGGGAAACCAGAGCCCAGAGCTCAGCTTGGCTGCTCTGGGCTGTGTCTGTGACCAAAGGCAATCCCAGAGCATACCCAGCCCAATTTTCTACCAGCCAATATTGACAGGCACAACAGTTTTTAATTGGTACTCTGAGAAGCAGCATAGAGAATAAAACAAAATTAATGCAGGTATCCCAGAGAGAATTGCAGCAGGGGAGGCCAGAATTGAAAGAGATTCACAGTCCTTTAACTGTTGAATCTTTCCCCAAGCATTTTAGTTTGTGAAATTTTGCTTCTTTGCCTTATCTGGATATTTATACAGTAAATAAATAATGAGAGCTAATGACTCAGTTGCACAAAAATAGGTTTTTCAAATTGCAGGTATAGCAGAGTATTACCTTTTTGCAACCACACAAAATGTTTTGGGAATTAAGCTGTAAAATCACAATGAGTACAGTAAATCAGATGAAATTTGCATCTTTGAGCCAGGGATATTTAAATTATACCACCAATTAATCCCCCAATGAGTTGATATGTTTATTTGGCTTCAGGAAATAGAAGACAACTGGCAGAGACCCTATTCTCAGACTTCCTCCCCTATTTGGAGGGGAGGGAGGGAATCTGAGAACTTCTATCATTTTCCCAGGAAGGAGTCCCAAACAAATGATGTCACTTTCAAGCATAGCACAAGTCAGGTCTACAGCTTGGCCAAATATCTAAATCCACAATTTGGCCACAAAGAAATATTCTTCAAAGCATCTCAGTCTTTATGTGTGCTGGTGTTTGCCAGCTGATATTAAATGACTGCCTTTGTCAGGAAACTGTCCCTTCTCCTAAGTTCCCAGTTCAAGTTCTGGTTTCAGGAACCAGAAATTCGGCAGGAGGGTGCCTGTTCTGCACAGTAGGACTCGGTGCTCTGAGTACATGAAGATTTATGCTAGTCAAGTGCAGCAGCCAGGACAGGCAGCTACCAGCTCCCACAGCTGCAGGCAGCAGCACAGCCCCTGCTTTCAGGCAGCCCAGGGCAGGACACTCATCACCAGCAGCACTTCCCTTCACCTATTTTTAGGCCCCCCAAGTGGATGTTACTAGTTAACTACCAACTGGCCATGAAATGTCTTTTCATTAAAAAATCCAGCCAAAGAAACTTGCCCAAGGACATATAACAAGGGAGTGCAGCCACCAATTTGCTCACCTAAATTATTAAAGATCTTACTGTCCATCCACAGTTTGCACTGAGTCCCCTTCAGGAAAGGTCTCTCAAGACGTTCATGAGAAAATGGGATATATGGCACTTTGGGAAAGTTTGGATTAAAGCAGAAAATAATACATAGGTACCAAAAAAAGCTATTTTTAAACATCTCAGTTCAGTACCATTTCTCCTATTATTTTTTTTTAAACTCTAATCCTGGAGGAGCTGAAAT